TAATAAATGGAAAATATTATATATGTAAAATTCTTTTACAATATTTTTTTTTTTGCCAATATATTTTTCGTTCGAATAAGCCTCGTTTTACATACGTCCCACGAAGCGTGACTGCAAAGCGAAAAGCCGCAGGGAAGCGTCTTAGACTCTATAAAATACATATATAAATGATCAGCCATGTCCGCCTGTCGGCATATACCCGAACGAGTCCCTTAGTTTTTAAGATATCGATCTAAAATTTTACACACGCTCTTTTCTCTTGAATAAGCTTCTCATTTAATATAGATTATCTTGTAGATAAATACAAACTGAACGATCGGAATTAAGTGGTTGTACGTAAAACTTATTTATTTGACGAGGTTACCTAAAGAAATAACACTATAACATATTGCTGCCATACAAACTGAGTGATGAATCAAGTGCTTGTATGAAAAACTTTTCATTTGACAAGTTATCTTCACGAATGTTTGCAATGGTTATTGCAAGAAACGATGAAATCTCCGCAGAAAGTGATTTATAATACCTAATGGGAATTCCTCGAAAAAGTTTAGCGCTACGTTTGACGACAGGAAACAGGAACTGTTTTAGAATTACAATTTTATTACATTTCTGTGTTTTGTCTACTATTTTAAACTACAGCTCGTACAGAGCCATCATTTACTCTACTTTTCTCTGGTAGACAAACTTACACATTTATTATTAAATTTTTAATCCCAAACATCTTTAAATTACATTTTTCTTATATAACTTCGGCATCTGCCATCAATTTTTATAGGCTACACTTATTTCAACTTTTTTTAAGCTAAGCTTGCTACATGCATGATATGCAGATATGTAGTATGTACATACATTCTAACATGCATATATGCTTTCTAATTTTTGACAAATTTGTTGACAAACATTTTGTATTTTTGTTTTCCCCTTTACTGTTTGCTTCCTAGCTGTAGAATGGACTAATACTCAATTTTGATAAGTAACTATAGTAGTCAATTCTTCAACTTTGCAAGGAAAAATGTTTTATATGGATATAATATATATACATACATAAGTACATAGGACTTCCTACCTCTTAAGAACTCTTTATTAACATGTTTTCTTTTGAGCTCCCAGTATATTGTATTAATAGACAAACCAAAATAAATTGCCAATGTAAACGTACTTACTTACATATGTATGTAATCTATATACAATATCTTGCATAAACGTATGTACATGGGTATAGGCATATTTATTAGGTACACATTGTTCAAACTCAATATACTTATAACGGTGTTAGAATTCGCTAAAACCTAGTATGAATGAAAGACAACAGTAAAAAAACAACACTTGATTAGTTCTTTTTTATTGAGCTCAACAAATTAATATATCTACATGAATGTGTATACATGCATGTGTGTATATCTCTCTACTATGTACATAGTTATTAGTATGTGGGTTTAAGTCATAACTCTGATCATAGGCTCGAAAGGATTGCGTCTTATGCGTGTAGCGTGGTAAAGATGCATCCAACTGGTTCTAAACCAGTTTTGTACTACTACAGTGGTAACTCGAATTATTGATATAATATGTATACTTGCACATACACATTCAGGCAGATACAAATTACGATACGCAGATGGATATACATACATATATGACCATACTTATGTAGATGATTATGTATGTACATATATATTTGTGTATATCAAGTGTCAGCTGCTCTTAGTTGGATAACAAATAACAAGAACCTGACACGCCATTTTTGTCAAAGCACAGGTGCATCAGAAAAGTGTTTGTACATAATGTGTACATACATATATGAATATGAGGATGAACTTATATACAAATACACATTCAATATACAGATACACACCTATATATAAATATATGTTAATGGAGTTTTTACGAATAAGTTATGGATATAGGTATATGTATACATGTACATATGTATGTATGTACATGTGTATGCCATTGCTGAACCGGGATTGCAAAATGAATGAAGCATTTTCATACGCCGTCACTTAAAATAAATACATTAGAAGGAACTCACCATTGGACATAATACGGCAATTCATAAGAAGGCGTAAAGTTCGAAAACTTTGCCAGCTAAGCACAGTGTATAGATGAAATGGACACCAAAGTCGCCATTTGCTGCTGGCGTCATTAATATTTTCTCTTGTGAATGAATTTTCAGTCTTGCTATCTTCTCGTTTTTCCGATAGTAGCCGTGGTAACATTGTGAATTTTTAGCTGCGTTTATTGCGGTTACATTATTTGCATAGGCCTTTTGTATTAATTGTTTTATATGCACAATTTCATGTATAGATTTTTTAAATTAATACATATTGCTCACATTAATTTCTATTATAATATTTGATTACAAACGTTTGACACTATATACCATATATTAATCTACTTACATGCATATGTATGTGTTTAGAACAAATATATGTATGTTTTCACTTCTTTTATTTAGTATTTATTATTTTGCTGTTTCACTTTCTGCGAAATTATTCTATCTATGGATGTAAATAACTACATATGTATGTTATTCAACTCTATGTTAAACATTATTATTTTCACGAACCTGATTTTCCGCATACATATTCACAAACGTTTATGTATATACTTACATAAATACAATTATATTTATATGATATTATTGAGATTTGAATTGGTTTGAGGAACGAATTGGAACATTTTTCTTTTTAGAAAAAAAAAATTTCCTTCGAAAACAATTATGTATACACATATCCATACATTTGTACATACATACATATGCTATAATATGTATCCATATTTACTCACAGTTGAAGATACGATTTTAGATAATCTTGAATTAATTGACATTTGTTTATTTTTCAGTCGAAACAGTATTAGACAAATTTCTTGTAGCCACTTATTTCACACATGCGCCATAATGCATACATATGTATACGCGCAAACTTCAGAATTATTACTCCATAGGATTTTTAAACGCATTATAATTTTTGCCGATACACAAGATTTTGATTACATATGTATGTGTATTTCTATAACTTGTATTCCTGCTTATCCATTCTTGTGAATACATACAACGGAGAACATACTTGATATTCAATTGCAACTAGTGTCGCTGCATATTTATTAATTTATTAGTGCCTCCATTTTAACTCTTTATAGATTTAAAATAAATGCAGAATTATACATAATCATCATAGGTACAACAATTTTACGGATAACAGCCACTGTTTGAGATGGCGAGCAAGGCAATTAAAATGCCCACACACATCCGTTTGGGTGATTCCAAAAGAGAAGCATATGTACCTATGTAACTATATGTAATGTGCACACATATAAGTATTTTCTTAGTTCATTTACACAGGCCGCGCACAAGAAGCAATTCACAACGTCGATTCCGAATAAGGGCTAAACATGTACTAACCGCACATTTTGCATAATACGAGCACAACCATGGTTTTTCTGCATGGTGGAAAACAATTCATGAATAGAGAAATTCGGTATACACTGCTGCAACCAACGCATTTTCGTCTCGGCTCACAAGAGTTTGTACACCAGGCACATGTCTATACCACATAGATACGTGTTCGTAACGCTAAACAAGTGCGTTTGTCGTAACTTAATAATGAAGAGATAAACCTCTTTAAATTCTTTAAGAGCGGATGAAACTTGATAGTATGTGTTGGATTCTCTGAAACGTATTTGCGTTAACGTGTCAGCTGATTGAGTTTTACGTACTAATATTTTTGGAACGTAACATTTTATACATCTTTTGCAGAATGCACCTTTCCAAGTAGACCCTGCCAATGCCATACAAAATAAAAAGAATAGAAAACTAACTTTAAAAATTTAATATATGTATGTATATTAGGCTGATTCAAAAAAATATTAAGTTTTTTTTTGTCGAAATCCTCACGTAAAAACTTTCGTGGAGATGTAAAAACACGCCAGTGAAAATCAGAGCCCCTAATATTAATATTAAAAGGTCACGTATCTCAGATTTCTATTTCCCATTTAAATAACACGGTAAAAATTGTTCTTTAATTTTGGAATTCTGCAACTTTAAACCGGTTTAACGGATTGTTGAACCAAATTAGAAGATATTCGAGGTCAAACTTAACTTAAACTTACAAAAAAATCAAATTTCCTATAAGAATATAATTTGGTTCAACAAATCGTTAAACAATTGGGTTATTTCCGCGAATGGCTATGTGGAAAGGAACAAATATTATAACGGATTTCTCAATAAATCGTCTAACTATAGCTCACTCTTGAGCTTGATCACTGGATTGTTAAATTAAAGACCCAATTTAATGCTATACACTTATCTTTATTCCCAATTCCAACAACTTAACACTTATTGCTCGCTATTCGAACTTACAACTTATTGCTTATAGCTTAATTGCTCTTTACACGGTAACACTCTAATTAGAACTGTTTCTGCTGCACAATCCGGCAGCTCTTATATAGTAAATTTTTAACAAAAGTTCGCTACTAGAACATTCTGGCAACTACGAATTCGCTGTCTAGTTGCTTCTGGCAGTTTATCGTTAATTCTGATTTGTTCTGGTACTTGTGTTCGCCACACTGCCCTCTACCTAAGTCTGATCGTCCCGATTAGACATATTTGCGGTACCAAACGCTGCAAGCCGTTCCAGATGAACCACCTTCATTTTATTCCTTGGTCTTCCAATGGTCTGTATGCGATACACCACATCATTGAGTCGTTTAATAACCTGGTATGGTCCTTCCCAATTACACTGTAATTTGGGAGACAGCCCTTTCTTTCGTTGTGGGTTATATAACAATACCCAATCGCCTTCAACAGAACCCTCAGAGTTTATTGCCTTGTCGTATTTTGCTTTCATCTTATCGCTCATAATTTTGGTGCGCTGTCTCACCATAGCATGTATATCCCTCATCTCGTCTTCTAGGATGCTATTGAATTCCTTAGTATTCCTTCCTCCGTTGGCGTTAATTCCAAATTTTAAATCAATCGGTAGTCGAAGATCATTACCAAAAATTACCCTTGCTGGACTCTGGCCCGTTGTTTCATGTACAGCAGACCGATAAGCCATCAGGAACAAGGATATATGGGTATCCCAATCTTTCTGATACTTGTCCACAACTTTCCTCAAATTTTCTTCCAAAGTTCGATTGAATCGTTCTACCATGCCATCGGACTGCGGATGTAGTGCAGTTGTACGGGTTTTCCGGATACCCAGCTTCTGGCATATCTCCTGTATTAGAGCTGATTCAAAATTTCTTCCTTGGTCAGAATGTAATTCTATTGGAACACCATATCTCGATACCCAATTGTTGATGAATACATCCGCTACTGTTCCCGCCTCCTGGTTAGTAATGGCGTATACCTCTGGCCATTTGCTGAAATAGTCCATGACTACCAAAATATATCTGTTTCCTAATTTACTGATAGGAAATGGACCAACTACATCCATGGCTACTCGCTCAAACGGCGCACCTGAATTGTACTGCTTCATCTGACCATGACTCCTGGACCGCGGTCCTTTAGCAGCAATACACTCGACACAATTGGCTATCCACTCCGTAACTGATTGATGACAACCAACCCAATAAAATCTTTGTTTTAATTTCTCCAGGGTTTTAGTGATACCCATGTGTCCTCCAATTGGACCGTTGTGCAGTTCCTTGAGAACTTCAGAAATTCTTACTTTTGGAATAATCATCAGAGTTCGTGAACTTTGCCCATCTTCGCTTTCCCATACGCGATGCAAGCAGCCAGACACTAACTTCAAACTATTCCATTGTGCCCAATAAGCCTTTGCGACTGGGCTTTCTGCAGCTATTTCTTTTCTTGTTGGACGTTTATTCATCTCCAATCCGTGTATTACGCTTTTCAAATCTGCATCCTCTTGCTGACATTTCCGTAGCTCCTCCGGATTCCAGTCTGATGTTATAGTCATTAATCGGACATCTATAATGTCTTCTTTGGCCTCAGCTTTTGAGCAATGTCTACATTCCAGATTACAGGGACGGCGGGACATGGCATCAGCATTGCCATGACTACTACCTTTGCGATGTTCTATAGAGAAGTCGTAACTTTGGAGTCTCTCAATCAACCGTGCTAACTGTCCTTCTGGGTTCCTGAATTGTAGAAGCCATTTTAATGCTGCATGATCTGTCCTCACCCGAAATCGCTGGCCATAAAGGTACTTATGAATATGTTTGATGCACTTCACCAACGCCAGTAATTCTCTCCGAGTAACACAATAATTTGTCTCTGGCTTGCTTATGGTCTGGCTGTAATACGCAACCACTTTCTCATGTCCATCAATGACTTGCGATAGAACGCCTCCTACTGCAAATCCACTAGCATCCGTATCCAAAATAAACGTTGATCCTGGGACCGGGTATGCCAACATTGGCGCAGTACTTACCCGCTCCTTCCGAGTTTGGAAAGCCACTTCCTGTTCTTTATTCCATTCAAAAACTCTGTTCTTTTTCGTGAGTTCATGGAGGCTACTAGCTACGCTGGCAAAATTTGGAACGAATCGTCTATAATAAGTATATAGTCTAAGGAAACTCCGCAATTCATGTAAATTTTTAGGAGTGGGCCAATCTCTTACTGCCTCGATCTTTTCATTAGCTGTGCAAATGCCCTCCGTTGTCACTTTGTGTCCTAAGTAGTTTACTTCCTTTTTGAAAAGGGAACACTTCTTTGGACTCAGCTTAAGACCAGCGCTAGCTATCCGTTGTAAAACCTCTTCCAAGTTCTTAAGGTGTTCATCGAAGCTTTTACCCAACCCGATGATATCGTCGAGGTATACCAAACAGGTCTTCCAGTGTAATCCTTTAAATACCTGGTCCATAAGTCTCTCAAAAGTAGCAGGAGCGTTACATAATCCAAAGGGCATTACGGTAAATTGCCATAGACCATCTCCAACGCTGAACGCCGTCTTTTCTTTGTCTTCTTCGTTTACCTCCACTTGCCAATAACCACTTTTCAAATCAAGTGTTGAGAACCATTTTGTGCCTGATAACGAGTCGAATGTATCATCGATTCTAGGTAGTGGATAACTGTCTTTCTTTGTTACATCATTCAACCTTCTATAGTCCACACAAAATCTTATGTTGCCATCTTTCTTCTTTCCAAGTACTACAGGTGAGCTCCACGGACTCTCTGATGGTCGGTTACGCCGCTTTCGCTCATTTCACGTATGGTCTGGTTTACAACTTCTTTTTGCTAAAGGAACGCTTCGAGGAGCCTGGCGGATTCGTCTTGCATCACCTGTGTTAATGAAATGTTTCACAACTTTGGTTCTTCCTGGTTTGGCATCGTCTTTATCAAATATGGATGAATATCTGAGAAGAAGTTGTTTAGCCGAAGTCAACTAGAGGCAAATTATCAATTGCCTCTAATTCCTCGGTCCATGCGTTAATTTCGCTCGATATATCGTTTTCGTCCATGGAATCTTCCTCAAGACCTATTTCGCAATTTATCACGGCCTCAATCTCTTGACACTGCTCTAATACAGCTCCTTTGGAGAGATTGATTGGTAACTTGCACTCATTAAGTACTCTTACTGGAACACGTTTATCTGGTTTTGTCATAGCCAGGGTTTTGCCTATGAGTAAGTTTGGTGTAGATTCTTTTGTGGCCTCAACAATCCACCACATGTTTGACCCATAGTCTCCATCTATTTCTGCCCAAATAATTGCTTCTGATGTTGGTGGGATCTGCTGGCTCTCTGTTGTTATCACTTGTCTAACGTTGTACTTATTATCGTAACCGAACATAAGTGGCACTTCCATATTTCCATAGGACATAATCCTGTTTTTCATGTCAATTTTGATTCCTTGATACGCTAGAAAGTCTACTCCAATTATGACTTCGTCAACGATATCTGCCACTATAAAATTGTGTAACACGGCTGTCTTTCCAATTACGATATCGCACGTTACCTTTCCGAGAACTAGGGTATCTTCTCCAGTTGCAGTACGCAACTTTGCCCCAGCTAACGGTCTCACTTCTTTCTCAACCAGATCAGATCAAATTATCGAATGTGATGCGCCCGTATCCACAGTCAGTATGCGCTTTCCACCGTCTACACATCCACTAACGGTAACGTTACTCGTATTCCTGCTTATTTGTGAAATGGAGATTACAGGGCATTTGCTTGCGGGAGGCAGCCCGTGCCCTTTTCGGCTGGCTCGCTTTAGTTTAACGATTGGTTTGATTTAACATTTGCTTGATATTCCTCAGCTTTGCGTTTACGTCCAACTGGATTATTTGGCTGGCTACAGTTGCGTGCAATACGGCCACTTTATCCGCAGTTGTAGCATTTAAGCACACCATCATTTTTCTTATGCGCTTCCGTAGATTTTTCCAGTGCTTTCTGCATGTTGTCCATTTTTTCAAGTAATTGGTTCACCCAAGTGTGTTCCTCTATTTCTACTTTGTGAGCTTTAAATTTATTTACTCGCCTCGCAGTTTGGAATGGTCTGTAATATTTCTGCTGCAGATCCTTTTAATGCAACGAACAATGCAGCTACTTTATCTTCAGCGTTCCAATTATTTGAAGATGCCGTCTTTTCGAATTGAAGCTTAAAAACGTGAAACGGAACAGTGCC